AAAATCGAATTAAAACACATCACATTCTAGTTTGAAACTTGTTCTCCACCACTGAGGAAAATAAAATAAATCAAAATACAAACTTGCCTGAGGTCACCTCAAAATCTTGACTTGACAGCTTTAAAATTCAAATTATTTTCTCAGAAGCTGAATATTTGAGATTACCTAAAATTTTGACTTCCGGATGTCAAGATTAAATTGCTCTGAAATTTCATTGACTGACAAAGTGTTTCTCTTCACCTCCAGAGCACAGAGTGCAGAGCCAATCACAACAGGTGTGTTCTCGCCGTCGTAGCCAAACTCCGTGAGCAGCTCGCGGATCTCGATCTCCACCAGCTCCAGCATCTCCTTGTCCTCCACAGCGTCCGCCTTGTTTATGAAAACCACCACGTGCTCTACGCCGATCTGCCGGGCCAACAGCAGGTGCTCACGTGTCTGAGGCATCTGGCCGTCAGTGGCTGCCACCACCAGAATGCAGCCGTCCATCTGAGCTGTGCCTGTGATCATGTTCTGAAAAAGAAAAGCAGACACATTTCTAATAGGATCAAACAAACAGGCGGGATTACAACCTGGTAACATCAGGCTGCATCCAGGTAAAAGAAAAGGAAAAAAAAAAGAAAAAAGAATACCTTGACATAGTCAGCGTGTCCAGGGCAGTCTGTGTGAGCATAATGTCTGTTGGCTGTGGTGTATTCTACATGCGAGGCGTTGATGGTAATTCCTCTGGCTTTCTCCTCTGGAGCATTGTCAATGTCCTCATACTTCTTGTAGCGGGCACCACCAGCATCAGCGAGCACTGGGGAGGATCAAATAAAGTGATAGAAATTCACTTTACAAAATTCACTAAACAAAGTTAGTACACACATTAACACCAGACTGTGTCCAGACCGGTGTGACAGCAGCAGCTTAAGTGGGTCTACCTTTTGTGATGGCTGCCGTCAGCGTGGTTTTGCCATGATCGACGTGGCCGATCGTCCCGATGTTTACGTGGGGCTTGTCTCTGCTGTATGTCTTCTTCGCCTCCACAGCGAAGGTTCGCCGGCTCAGAGGCACAGCACACTGCGTGACAAAGAAGAACCCAATAATTTAACCACGGCAAAAAACCAGTGCTTCACAGCATGCAGCATGCCGTTTCATGCAACTACTTACCAATTTGAAGGAGCTGTGCAGGAGGCTTGGTGAAGAAAGCTGAAGGGCTGAGAAGAGGGAATCAAAAAGTTGGACAAACTTACATAAAGAGTGACTATTTGGTGCCACAACACAATAATTAAAACATTGCCAAACATATTTAAACTATCTATCTTTTTAAAATGCGGAAACATGTATTAATTCTGTGTCAGTAAACATTTAGGTGTCCATGCCATGATTTCCCTTTCAATCAGTGGAGGCGTGCCCTCACATAGATGAGATTAGCACTGACTGCCACACACATTTTTCCCCAAAATCTCAGCCAGCATGTCTGCACAGCTCCGGATGTATTGCACTCGCACCGGCCGTGATGCTTCTGTGCCATATAGAGCGCTAATAAAAAGAGTTTTGCATAAACCAGGCAGGTTATATCATGCTAACAGCTGCAGCTAACATTAATCCATTTTGATGACTTTAGATCCAAAAAGGACGGCGTCACCTCTCTTTAAAGACTACCTATATCAACAGTATGTTTCCCTTCGTTTCTGGTTACCAGGTGCTGATTTTAGAAATCATTCTTCATCCTCGGTTAGTCTTATTGTTAGCTAACCGTCACTGGTAACGTGACCTTGCTCTGCTGTCGGAAGACACAGCATCACATTTTATTTTCATATTCTTGTACTTCTAAATGTCCGAATAATGTTTGATTTTATGTATAAATCAATAAAGGTGGTGTAAATCAATTAGCTGTCAGAAATGCAAGCAGAGTCACATAGTTTAAATGAATTAAACAATATTTACCGGACAAACACGCACGCAGCCCCACAAGCGCCGCCATCTTTCCTGGCTTGACAAACCAAAGACGATCGGAATTCAAGAAAATAATCCCCCAGCCCCAACGATGTCGTTCCTTTACGTA